AAAGAAAGAAAGAAAGAAAACAAAAAAAAAACTATTGGGAAACATGGAACACTAAGAACTTGAGAAATCATGTAAGAATTTGTGGGCCTTTATAGGATCTGAGTTCTTGTCAAGGTAAGGTGTAAGAATAGAACTCCAAGTAAAAGCAGTCGTACAGTCTATAACCTCGGAAAGGACACTGAAACAGCCTCTAACAGAAGGTGTAGGTTCCACGTCCAATCCCCTCGTCCCTCCCCACGCCCTGGAAAGGATGAGCCATGCTATCCATACCACTGCAGGAGAGGATGGGCCAGGGGATCCAACTTGTCCATCTGCTTCTTGATTTCCAAATATGAGCCCTGTAAGACAATGGCCATAAGGTTATCTCCCAGGAGAGGCGGGTGCCCTCCCACTTTCCACAGCCTGACTATCGGAGCCCAGGGCAAGGTAGGCACCAAAGGCCACAGAGAGGAGAGGAGATGGGGTTCCCACCCTCGAGGGGCCTCAGTCAGGTTGGGAAGACTCATAAATAAATATGAAAATGACTGAAGATGCTTACAAAACAACATGCAGGTGGGTCTCCCTCATTTTATGCAATTCCTACAGTCCTAAAAAGTTGATTATAAATCAAAAAATAAATAAAATCAATGTCCCAGAAAGATAAGGCTAAGGAATCCTGTGGTAAATCTTTACAGAAAGCAAAGAGTCCTTCTCACAAGTAAATCATCCCTCCTAGGTGTATCTTATGTGTTAATCTGAACTGTGATATATAGGATTTGCTGAGAAGAGGCCCACCTGTAAATGTGAGTACAAATGAATGTCTATTCATGCAGAGATTGCAGACGAGGGGTGGGGAAGTCTGGTGAGGGACAGCCTTGAGTCAAAGGATGGTCACTGCTCCATGTGGCTGCCCCACCCCTAGAAGGATAGAAGATGTAGGCCCCTGGGGGTCTAGTTCCTTACCTCCAAGACCCCCTCCTCTCCCTCCCAACCCCACTTCTCTAATTCCCTAAGAACTATGGGAAAACATTAAATATGAACAACTTGTGAAAGAATTAGCAGCAAAGGTAAAGTTTGAGAGCAACACTAAGAGTGAAAAGAATAAAGAGAAGTAACAGAGCTAACAAGACAGAGAACGAGAACTGGAAAGATTAAAGAAGGAAGACTAAAAAGAATACAGTGAGGAATTTGAGTAGCTTCTCTAAATCCTCATCCCACTCCCACAAATTACAAGCAGAATAGGGCACTTGAGCTGGGCACGCAGTGGGGAAGGGACCGACAGAAGGCAGAATACCTGGGTCATCTCCCGAATGGACATCACACTATCCAGAGCTTTCTGAAGCCGCTCATAATTCTTCTTCTGTGGAGAATCAATGGGAAGAGAAGAACCAGATGAAGAACAGAGGAGAGTAAGGATGTAATGAGAAGGAGGACCAGAGGTACAGAAGTCTAGGCCCATGGAAACAGGGTAGTATGTCATCGAAAGAATACAGATTTAATGACAGTTCTGGTATAATAGGCTAGTCCTCTTTTACAACTGGGAGGAACAGGGTAAGTTACTTGACCTCTTAGAACCTTAGCATTCTTGTTTGCAAATGAAGATAATTTCTACCACCCTCACAGATATGTTATGAGGACTAAATAACATATATAAAGAGCTTAGTACACTGGCTGATATACAGTAATGACAGTAATAGTGAGGTTCTGTGCTGGTAATTGTGATAGTTAATTTTATGTGTCAACTTCACTGGACCATGAGGTGCCCGGACATTTGGTCAACCATTATTTCTGGGTGTGTCTAGTCTATATGGTATTTTTGGTTGAGATTAACATTTGAATCAGTGGACTAGGAAAAGCAGATTGTCCTCTAATGTGGAAGGGCCCCATCCATTCAAATGATGACCTGAATAAAACTAAAAGGCTAAACCCTGCCCTGCGAGTAAGAAGGTACTCCTCCTGCCTGACCATTTGAGTTAGATTATCCGTCTTTTCCTGCCTTCAGATTAGAACTAAAAACCTGGCTGCTCTTGGGTCTTGAGCCTGCCAGATTTCAGACTAGAACTTACACCATTGGCTCTCCTGGTTTTCAGGCCTTCAGACCAGGACTGAAACCAAACCATTGGCTTTCCTGGGTCTGCAGCCTGCAGACTATGGATGGTGGGACTTTTCATCCTCCATAATTCTGTGAGGCAATTTCTTATAATAACCCCCCTCTCTATATATATCCCCTATTGGTTCTGTTAATCTGGAGAACTCTAAAACAGTACTTTATATACATTATCTCACATTTTTATAACAATTTGCAAAACAGGTATTATCCCTTTTTTTCAGATAAGGAAATAAGGAGATTGAGGTTCAGTGACTTGCCTAACACCATTCAACTAGAGAGTAGCAGAAACTCAAATGGAACCCAGGTCTGTCTGGCTCCAAAGCCTATATTCTTCCCTATCATGATGTAACTCTGTGATAAACTTAGCTATTTACTCACTGAAACAGCTAAATCTGGCCGGGTGCAGTGGCTCACGCCTGTAATCCTAGCACTCTGGTAGGCTGAAGGAGGAGGATCGTTTGAGCTCAGGAGTTCGAGACCAGCCTGAGCAAGAGCGAGACCCCGTCTCTACTAAAAATAGAAAGAAATTAGCCAGACAACTAAAAATATATAGAAAAAATTAGCCGGGCATGGTGGCGCATGCCTGTAGTCCCACGCATGTAGTACTTGGGAGGCTGAGGCAGAAGGACTGCTTGACCCCAAGAGTTTGAGGTTGCTGTGAGCTAGGCTAATGCCATGGCACTCTAGCCTGGGCAACACAGTAAGACTCTGTCTCAAAAAAAAAAAAAAAAATAGCTAAATCCTTGGGTTCAAGAGTTCCCAAGAAACAAGTGTTCCTTCCTTTTGTGCCTTATTCCAAGTTGGAATAAGGGACAGCCTGTCCGTATACATTTCACATATACTGGAATGACAGCCCATAGTCTCCCACTACCTTTTACCATTTTGGTGCATTAGCCCTTTCTTCCCAAGTAATTTATACCTTAGGGTTAAAGGCCAGAGTCTTGGGATCAGTGGGGTCCACCACAGAGGGATAAGGCTCAAAGATGATGCTCTTTCTAGGGGACTCCAACGCTGCCCTACACATGGCCACCAGCAGATCCACCACCTTAGGGGAAAGGAGAAAAAGAGGGAGAAGCCAAACGATTTTCCAGAACTGCGAGTCACACAGGACCCAGCATTTCTCCCTGTTCTTTAAAAAAGCAAATGTGTTTATGGATTTTTAATTGGAAAATACAAACTCATAAATATTCAAGTAATACCAAAGTGATTAAAGAAAAGATAAAAATCATACCCTTGCCCCCAAACAAATCTCATTCGTCACAGGTAACTACTGGTAAGTTTGAGGTATACATTTCCCGATATTATTCCTACGGAAATAGTTATTTTCTTATATAGGCAATTTTACTTCACATACTACTGGATTTGTTTTTTTCATATAATTATGTTACAATTTTCTATCCACAGATAATAGCTGTGTAGTATTTCCACTGTAAGGACATACTGTAATTTCTTTAACAAGACCCTCTTGGGTGCAAGATGGGGTTGCACCCATTTTTATTTTATAAACAATACCATAGTAAATATCCTTACATATGAAAGCAATTTTGAAGATTAAATTTCAAGGAGTGAAATTGCTGGGTTCCTCTGCCTCTCCTGATCCCAACTCCCCAGCTGCTTTTCCCTGTCCCGTACCTCTGCTCCGGTAGCCACCTCTTCTGCAGCTCCAGACATGACGCCCAGTGTGTAGAAGGAGAAGACGCACAGCTCACGAGTGCAGACAGCTGGCTGCATGGACATGTTAAACAGATGGCGGTGGTATGGGGTGTGCAGTCAGAAGGTATAGGGAGAGAGGGACAGCCCTGACCTTAGACAACTCTAGAACAAGGTAGGAATTTGGGGCCCTCTATGTCCAGAGAAAACTATCAATAAGGACTTAATTATAATGCCTTACTGAAAAGTTTGAGAGTTAATACTCTCTCCTCTATGAAGCCTTCCCTGATCTTCCTAGGTAGTCAGATGCCCTCTCTTCTGAGATTCCACAACACTGCTCATATCTCTTCTACACACTTAATATATATTGTGACTTATGGTTAAGTGACTGTCTACCAACCTGGACTTGGAGTCCTGGAGGATGGCATCATATCCAATCATCTTCACCAATATCTGATACCCATTTTTAAATGTTAGGTGAACTATATCCTCAAAAATATTCCCATATCCTCATCTCTCTAAGCAAGACTGCTGAGATGTGTTTACAGAGAAAAAGAATTATTTACAGAGTCTCAGAGAATGTGGACAGAATTCTACTTTCACCATAGGCCCAGGAAGAAAGAAATAAAGGAGAGATGAGGAGTGAAGGGGACTTAGCTAAGGAAGAGGGTCACAGGGTAGGGACCTGTACCTTGAGCATGGAACCATTCTGGAAGACATGCTGCTCATCACACACCACACAGTACTCATTCAATGTTGGAATCCTCTGCTCTGCATACTTCATGATCTGGAGAGAGAACAGATTCTAAGTCTTTTGGAAGTACAGGCACAGATACGGGAAATAATTTGAGCTTCTTTTCCAGCTTTCCTCCCCCATTTCAGCCCTGTGGCTAACGTAGGTTCTGTTCTTGGGCCCTGCACTTAGTTAAACTGATGTCCTGACTGCAGAGCTAAGACTGCATAGTATAGTAAAAATAAGACCAGCCACGATGTTTGATTTGGAAGACCTGGGTAAACATCCCACCTCTACTACTAAATACCATATATAACTTTGGGCAAGTCAGTTAACCTGAGCCTTGGTTTCTTCATTTATAAATAAATTAGAACATAATTTAAATCACAGGGAGTACTGCAAGAAATGAGATGATTTCCATGAAAGTATTTTAAAAACATAAACAGGTGCTAATCAAATTAACAGTAGTTGTAGTAATTACAGACTGTCCCTTTGGGACAGGACAGTATTCAGTGCATGATCGGATGGCAGGGGAGCCTGAGAAGCCATTTTATCTACCTAGAATAATTAGCCAGTCCACTGGTCAAAACCACAGATACAACTGTGCTGGGAAGATGGCACAAATCCAGAGCTCATGCAGCAAAACCCTAAAGTGTGTTTTTGGACTCTCTAACACAGCTTTTGTGTGCAGATCAGGTTATTCCCATTTCGTATGCCTTTGAGCTGGCAATGGGACATGCTAGGGATTTTATTCATTCATTTACCATAGATTTGTGAAAGCTCTATGAAACATCTCCTTGATTATGCACTAATATAAAAGATTGCCTTCTCAGATGCTAAACTCCAATAAGGGAGCTATGGTACATATACAAGTTAATTACAATTCAAGGCAACATATAGTAGGTGACACATAGGTGCCATATAAAATAAAAAGGATCGTAAGAGCTCAGTGAGGGGACAGATGATGTCAAGTTAATACAGCTGGAGTCATGATGGCAATCATCACTCGCCTTGATGGCAACAGGCACGTATGGGGAGGAAGGCCAGTGGAGGGAACGGCATGAGCAAAGGTTACAGAGATTTAAAAGTGAAAGCACGTCCAAGGAACGAAGAGATTTTTAAAAGCAGCAAATGGCCAGTAGTGACTGAGCAGTGAAAGGGGTCAGGAAAACTGGAGACCACTTGAGCAAGGGTGTTGGGGATCATGAGAAACTTAGTGTCAATCCCTCTCTCGACACTCATACACTTAAAATTTGCAGTGCCAAATTCTGCACTTGATCTTAAGTGTTCTGTGAGTGTTGTCTTCCAGTAATGCTGTGAGCTTCTTGAGGATGGGAACTATGGCTTCTTTCTCCCATCCACTTGACATTCAGTATAGTTCTGGGAACAAGGCAACTCATGAAATATTCAACTGACTAAGGGAGCTGGGAGATGTTAGAGGACCAAATGGGTCAGACAACAGGGAGGGGCTGTGGAATGAAGCTTTTTACTTGATTACCTGGACGAGGAATCCATACTCCAGAGTGGGGATGTTCTTGCAGTGACCACTGACCTGGTAAGAGTAAAAAGGCAAACTCTATGAGCCTCCTATGAAGCTGGGCCAAGACAGACCTCACTCATGCCCACCACCTAGGATTCTCTGAAGTAGCTAAGGCCTAGCTCAGATCAGCCTAAGTAATCCCAAAGCTGGAGAGAAGATTTTTAGGCATTTTTACCAAAGTTTCTGGAATAGGGCTCGCCTATACTTAACTCTCTTCAAAGTAGGTAGAACAGATCAGTATAGCAGCTGACTACCAAGTCCTGACCACAACCCAATAAAATCATGACTTCTCCTTGGGAGGCCTATCTCTAGACTCTCAGCTTCATGGCCCATTATCAGAGAAGCTTGCCAGATAATATATTAACAGATACAAGTGTTCAGCTATTACAAAATGTATTCCATTCTACTCATTCATGGTACATACTTGGGTTTGATTTATGATGCCCTCACTTCATTTTGAGAAGCTATGCTCCCACATTTCCACTCCCACCCACCCGACGCCCAAGTCAAACCCTCCCCAGCCCATGTACCAAAGGAGAGGTCCGTGCTGGGGGAGGGAGGCCCACGTGCTGGGGGCACAGGAGACCTGCCTGGGGACTGGGAGGGTAGCCAAACACCTCCACTTTGGGGTTCTTCATGGTGCAGGAGATGGAACGGTTCATGAGGCGCCCAACGCGAAGCTCTGGCACACCCAGTTTGCCTTTCAGCATGGAGTCCTGTATGATAGGGAAACTGGGAGACCTGGGGAGAGAGAGCAAAGACAAATGATGAAACTGGGAATTCATTACACGTCCTAGAAAGGAATTGGAGATAGTGATTCCCAAGCCAAAATTCCTAAGCCAAAGACAAACTCGTATCTGAAAAAAGTTCTACTGGATCTTAAACAATGTCAGAACTAGTAGATAACACATCTGAATTGATTTTTTACGTCATTATCTGTGTGTTTTTCAGATTGGGACACGGAAGGTGGGCAGAGGCAGAGTGTACGTCACTATGGCATCTAGACCAGGTATGGAATGATCCCACAGAGAAGCTGTTTCATTTACTTAGAGAGTGTGTGTGAAAAAGAGAAGAAAGGAGACAGGGAGAGAAAGCAGGATGGGGGGAGGGAGAGAGGGGGTAGAGAGAGAGAGAAAGTGTTAAACAACTGTGCTAGGCAAGAAGTAGTTGCATCCCAAAGAGCCTAATGTCAACTGTCTGTCAACAACAGTTGCCTGCAAAGCTACGAATTTGGATTTCTATCTGCCTTTGGGAAGATCAGAAGGCATCAGAGGGGGTAAAAATGCAGACCTGCGGTCAAAGAATGGAGCAATATTTATTTCTAGAATCTAGCTAATAAATCAATGTACCCTGCATAAGAGCAAGGAACTGGTGCCTATTCTCTGACTCTTTCTCCTTAGGATGGGGAATAAGGATCAGGGCCAAAGAAAAGGAAGAAGGAAAGATCAGTATACATTTTCCAAATACATACAATGAGCTAGGTATTGTATCTTACATAAAGGATGACGTGTTAACATTAGGTCAGAAGTGGAAAGATAAGGACACACAGGGGTAGGGACCACGTGAGGAGTGTTAGTAGATAAAGATACAGAATTTAGAGGACCAAGGGAGGAGATAGAAAAGATAAGTTTAGGTAATCAGGAAGGTGTGTGTGGGGGCTATCACAAGGTGATAAGGAGAGCACTTACTTGGGGATGGGTGAGAAGATGCTGAGGCCAGCTCGGAACTTCTTGATAGTGCCACTTGCCTTGAACCAACTGTGCCTCTTCTCCTGCTGGGTCTTCAAGAAATCGTTGCTCAGATGTTTCCATTGTTGGGATGTGAACATACCCAGGATCCTGCAGGATCAAAAAGAAAAGGCTTAAGCAAGATTAGGCAGGGGAGTAGGTCAAGAAATAAGGATTAAGGGAGACAACTAATTTAAAATTCAGACCCAGGGACTGCAAAACTAATGGAGGGGGACTGTGTGTCTAAAGACTCTAAACACTCTCTTAAGATGACCTTAGCACATGGAAATGTACTGTCCTAAAGCACCCCTTTACCCTAGGGGGTACCTAGCCTAATGGACCAGAAAACTTCTGAGATGCTTTGCCTTTAGAGGGAGATCTCAAAGGTGAGCCTTCAAAGGCTGTGAACCTTGAGATCAACTGCCAAGAATGACCATACCGCTGAGAGTGGAACACAAGTGGTAGGATGGAGGAGAGCACCTCTGTTTTGTGAGCGGTGAAGAAAAAGACAAGTGACATGAGGGGTACTGACATTGTTAGGTGGAGAATTACATCCCCAAATTTATGGTTTCCAACTCGAACGAGCTGGGTCCTCACCTGGACTTGTCAATCCTTTCACTTGTCCTTCGTAAGTTCTCTCTAGCACTACTTTAAACTATTGCTCTGAATCCGCATCACTTTAAGCTACCAACTTCGCCTACACCAATAACCTCTCTTCCTTAATAGAGAAAGCCATCAGATAACAGCTCCATTAATTTTCCAGCCCTACTACAAAATCTATTTCTACTTCCACCCTTACCTTGACCCCTTTATTTTCTACAGACAAGATGACCCTCAATCCTTCTATTTGTGCTCTAGATCTCAGCCCCATCTTGCCTCTTTAGGGACCTAAATGTGTCAACCATTCCCTGTCAGTTCCTTTTCCAAAGTCTACCAAAAATTTTACTCTCTGGCTGGGCACTGTGGCTCACGCCTGTAATTCTAGCACTCTGGGAGGCCAAGGCGGAGGATTGCTTGAGCTCAGGAGTTCAAGACCAGCCTGAGCAAGAGCGAGACCCCGTTTCTACTAAAAAGAGAAAAAATTAGCCAGGCGTGGTGGTGCACACCTATAATCCCAGCTACCTGGGAGGCTGAGGCAGGAGGATCACTTAAGCCCAGGAGTTTGGGTTGCTGTGAGCTAGGCTGACACCACTGCACTCTAGCCTGGGGAACAAAGTGAGACTCTGTCTCAAAAAAAAAAAACAAATTTCACTTTGTGGAGCTCAGTCTAGCTACCTCTACCTCTTCCTCTCCTCCCCTCATCCACATTTCTCAATCCATACTCATTGTTTCTACTTCCTTGCCAACCACCCACTTCTCAGCTTCAAGTATTCTGGTTCCTACCCTCACCACTCCACTAAAATTGTTCTCATCTTGATGCTAAATCCAACCGAAACTCCTAAGTTCTTCCACTACTTATCTTCTCTGGCATCTGGCCCTCCTTGTAGAACCGTCCTCGCTTGTCTTCTGTGCTACCATTCTCTTCTTCTTCTTCTCTGACCTACCTGCACAGTTTCTTCTTCCTCGCCTACCCTGTTCGTTTCTTGGGTATTCTGGCTGGGTGTTTAAGGGTATTTTGCCCTTGACCCTATTTCTTTTCATTTTATCATGCTCTCCTTTGACGATCTCATATTCACTGGTTGTAATATCCATCCACAAACTGATGCATATCTCCAACCCTAACCTCTCCTGTAAGTAGCAAATTCACATATATTGAACATCTTCACTTGCATACTCCAAAGGCACCTTTAAACAACACGCCTAAAATGGAACTATTTTTCCTCATCCTACAAACCTGCTCCTCTTCTTATATCCCTATTTAAATTGTTGGCATCACAATTTACCCAGACATTTAGGCTGGAAACCCAGGAGTAATTTTCCACTATTACTTGGCCCTTATCACCATAATCAACATGTCTAAATCGGCCTTCAAGTCTTACTGATTTTATACCCTGCAAATTCTCTAATCTGTCTCTCATCTCCATTCTCAGCTACAGTCACACTTTAGTTCAGGCCTTCAGCATCTCATGTCTAGAATTCTACGAAAGCCTCCTATTAAACTAGTTCTGGCCTCTTGTCTCATTCCCCCCTACCCATATTGTACCATGCTACCAGATTAGTTTTTCTAAAACTAAATCTGACCTTGTCCTTTCTTTGCCTAAAACCCTTCATGTTTCCACTGCCTACAAGATAAAAGCCCAAGATCTTCGCTAATTTGGACACCTATTCTCTGGCTTTGGTTCCTACCACTCTCCATTTGCTGCATTTCAGCAGCAATATTTAACTACTTGAAGCTTCCTACACACATGCTGCTTCACGTGACTTTGCTCCTGCAAATGTTATTCTCTCAGAAACTGTCTACATGGACAACTCTCATTCATCCTAGAAAATCATTAATCATCTTTCATTCCTTCATTCACGGCCCTCCACTTGTCACTATACTGAGTCACTCCTTCCTCCATGTTCTTTCTAAACTTTACATATTCACTTGTATTAAAATACGTATCCACTGGATTCTATTTGAAACTTCATTAAGGGTAGAAAATGTGCATCATTTCTCTTTGTATACCAAATACTTAGCATAATGTTAAACACATTCAATAAACTAAAATTATCTGAGCTCCTAGAGTCCTGCTCTCTGAGGAAATGTGAATGGCATGATTCTAGGGTTGTACTTTTCCTTAAATGCTAAGCAGAGATGAGTCTCTCCTTTCACCTCTAAGAAGTCTTAAGTTCTGATACCCAAGAACAATAGACTCCCACTCCACAACAATAAATTTGGCTCCCCAGATTTATTTTAGCTTTTCCTGGGCACACTTTAGGGAGACTTTTTCGGAAAGAAACGTTCCATCCCAGGCTCTGCCTGTCCATCCACATAGATATCTCTCTCTCTCTTTCCCTCACATGTCCCTGATCAGAAAATATCAAAGTTCTTACTTTTTCAACTGAAGACCCAGCCCAAACCCTTCCTTATTCGATGGCTGGAAAACCTCAATTGATGGTTCTGCAAAGAGAAGAGAAGGGACCTCATAAGTACACATCTCTAACCTCCTGGTAGTCCAAAGGCACAGTTCAGTAGAATAGCTTCTTTAGATTCTAAAAATAGAAGCTGCTGGGTACTTCAAATAATGGTGGAGGAGGAAAACATCCGAGGTAGTCAGTAGGTTCTGGAAGCTGTCTAATCAATTTCAAATATCCTCAGTAGGAAGCTGGGCAGGGGGAAGAGAAATAAATTATATTTTGGAACCAGAGAAAACAATGTCATTAGCCATTAAGGCCTTTAGGGAACGGCTATCAGGTGACAGGGGATGAAGACACCAATGAAAGGAAACCAAAAAGCCCCTACCAATGGCCTACAGATTGAGCCAAGGGCCTTGTTCCTAGTTTTTCTCTATCTCAGTTAACTTAGGACTTTGGATTACACCACACTCGGAGCAGCTACTTGCCCAAAGTCACTCCCTTTACCTGGTCCATCAAGGTATTGGGAGAGAGAAAATCGCAGCCTCAGCACAATGGGTTCTGTCCGGAGGACCTTCCAGGCTGTAGAGACTTCCTCCTAAAAGCACAAGGGAAATAATTTCCAGTTTAGTAATATAGAGGAACGAAGTTTCCCCATATGACAGATGCATGCACATGACAGTACACACCACTGTCTGCTGATGGTCTAGGAAAGACAGAGATGAAGAATATGTGCTCCAAATACAGCACTCAGGAACAAGACTCCTGGCCTATATGACAAATTCCACAAGTCCAGCTAGACATGTTGTTGGCAGGTACTAGCCCACTTACATCGAGGAAGCTGATGTTGATGTGGAGGTCAATGTCCACGTCATCGATAGTTCCATATTCTCTATAGAGATACAGGCGACCACAGGTGAGACTCATTAAGGGAGAAAGAAGGGAACAGAGACTGAGGTGGAAGGAGAATTGAGCCCAGGGCCAGGGGAGAAGGAAGGTGGATGGTAGTTTTGTATGTAGGGTCTTAGCTACAGCCTCAAGCCACATACATGATCAGAGCCTTCTCCATGCCAGAAGCCTTTCTTACCACAAAGGTCAAACTATTGGCTTAGAGGGGTCTAGGATAAGAGGAAATTTCTAAGAAAAGTAGCCTTACTCTCTTCTGCCAGCCAAGCTTATATATTTGAGCAATTTCTATCATTAAGCTCATAATTTATCCCCCTATCATACCATAAAAAGAAAAACCTCTAGCCTTTCGACAACTCAGAAAGAAGTGGCTTGCTCCCTTGCCATCCCGGAAGCAGAGTCCCACCTGATGGATACAGAGTTCTCACTGTAGATCTCCTTCACGGCTTCAATGTCTGCATCAAGTTGTGGGTGTCGATACAGGTCAGCTGCACAGCTCCCCTGAGAGAGTGGCAAAAATGGTGGTGGTAGAGAGGTGTGAAAAAATATAGATGGGGAAAGAGGGAAGAAAATGAAAAGAACACGAAGAGACACCAGGAACAGGAGAAATCAGACAGCAGCAGCAATACAGGGGAAGTGAAAGCCTCTTGTATGAAGGGGTTCTTGGTAGTGATCCCAGCTAGGGATTTCATTAACAGACAAGTATCCCTCCCATCACCACTCTAAAAACGTTTCAGGAGACCAAAGGTAGGCTTTGCTTGAGGAGTTCACATTCTCAAGTCTCCGGCTTTTCCTCTCAGACCTAGACCAGGATACTTACATATACATTCTACAACAACTCAGAACAGGCTGAAGAGTACAGATTTTAGCTCAGCTAGGTTCTATCCGAAAAGCATTCTGGGAGTCTAAGCATTTCTGCTCAGATTGTGCCCTGGATAGTAATGGCATTAAGCAATAACTGGCAGAGTAATCTTTTAAGATGCAACCTCATTGGCTATCGAAGGAAGAGTCAGAAAACAATTACTTCTAACTAAAAACATATGGGTAGGCTCCACGTACCGAGGATGTAGGTTACTCTGGGACAGCTAAGAATCCCAGGCAAGAGCAAGGACATGGGATCAACTCCAAGAAGACCATGCTCAGACTACACCAACATTATACCCTCATCTCATCTGTGCTCCAGAACAATCTCTTTCACTCCTGATGTATCCAGAGGAAGCACACATCTAGATTATTCAACATGGGTCTTGGGGGATATAACCTCACCTGAACTCCATAGAGAAATTCCTCTGATTCATTATCTCCCTCCGAATCATCATCATTCCAGAACTGGCCTTTGATGTCCTAATGATGAGAAATAAGAATACCGTCCTTTGTTAGGTCCCTGTTATCCCATGGAATGGGGCGGGGTGATATGGGAAACAGATTCCCACAAAGAATGGGAAAAGGTCCCTTGGGACAGAATAACTGAGGACCTAATCTCTTTACACCTTTCATCTCACCCTTTGAGAGAAGAGTCTCAGGCCCTTCCTGAATCTGCTCTTATCCGTGGCCTAGCTCTGACTTGGTGGGACAGAGGAAAACGGTAGGGAATTTTGGCCTTCTTAAGTCTCAGCATGACGATCGAGGCTCTGGCAGCCGGTCAGGGAGGGCTGCAGAAGACTTCAATGTCAAGGTTGGTTCCTAAGCATACCTTGGTTCTATCACAAGCTGGCCTCTTGTAGGATCATTACCCAAGGCAGCTCCCAAGCATACCTAAGCTCTCGTCTCTTTGCTCCCTTTCTAACCTTTAAAGTATTTAACTCTCCCCTCCCTTCCCAAGAAAACCCACCTACACACACACACCAATACTGTTTCTGTGCCCGTTCTCTTTCCTTTAACATCAAACAGCCACTCTACCTTCCAAAAGGGTGGGAGGGAAAATACTAGGAAAGAGTGAGATCTGTATTTTGTCTCATCTACCCCTTGGACAATAGTTGGGAGAGGTGGGCAGTCAGTTCTCACCATTGGGTCAATGGGTCACACACACTCTCAGGTCAGTGCTAGGCAGCACCCCTCCATACCACCAGCTGAACCCAGGCCAATGCGATGGGCATTTAGGAGGCCACAAAGGGAGACAGGAGGCCGATGTCAGGAGCAACTGGAGAACTGCTGGGGATGGCAGACTCTGCTGTTGTGGTGGTAACAAGTCAATCCTGTGGAAAGTAGATAACAACTGGTTTCATCACCACTTAATAGCTGGGTGGTGTATACACAGGCAAACATACTTATGAATACACTTTTATTACACATATATACAGATAATTGCACATAGAAGACACACTTGCAGGCATATACACACATTTATACATGTAGTTCTTTAACATAATGAACGTGAAAGCACTATACAAACATAAGACACTGCTATTCCATTTAAATTGAAGAGCTGAAATTGACGCAAGACCCTGCTCTAGTTCATAACGTTATAACTCCTGAAGCCAGAAGTGATGGTGGCAGGACCAGATGCTTATGCTTCTGTCTAGTCAGTTCATTTTGGAAAATTCTTCACAGTACCAACCCCCAGCAAAATTAAGAACCAGAATCTGATTCTTTCTGGACTCTTTATTCCTAGTTATTTCTCCATATTGAGCCATTACCTCTTTTTAAACATCACTATTACTAGAAGCCATTACATGGCAATCATAGCTAACTTAAAAAGTCATCAACAACACTGAACACCCTCTAGCAGTCCTGATTTGTCATGGCCAAAACAATGCCCTGGAGTCATCGTGGAACCTACCCCCAAATTAAAATGCAATAATGATCCCAACAAATGCTCAGAAAAACACTTAACCTCTAGACCTTTCACATAATGTTCCCATGATTGCTTCTAATCCAGAGGACCCCTAACCCTATACCAGGAACTTTTAGCCCCACTGAAGCTTCCACATACAGTAGGAAAAAGAAACTCATCTGTCAAATTATGAAGACTTTACTGGCAGATGATGCCAAAGCTATCTTAGAGCAGGCTAAAAAAGCTTTCAGTTGCTCTCTAGATCAGTAGGTCACTGGCTCTGCATATACCTCAGTCTAACCCACTCCAACCTCAAACAGAGGTGTTCTTGGTCTCTAACATAGTTCTGCTAAACCTTAGGTTTCTAGATCAGCGACTCTATGAGTGGGGTCAATGGACCTGCAGCATCAGTACCACCTAGAACCTTGTTGGAAATGTAAATTCTCAGGCCCCTAAGACCTACTGAATTAGAAACTCCAGGGATGAGGCCCAGTAATTCTGATGCATGACAAAATTTGAAAACCACTATTCCAGACCCTTGTATGTTCTAAGGGCCTGTGGTCTGTTTCTCAGATACCAACTTAAGTCTGGTAACTGACCCAGGATGGGCAACATAATGCCAGGGCAAAAATCAGCACAGTAATCTTCCAGCTTATAGTATTGCCTGACCCATGAGAAACAATGTACAAAAGGAAATTACAACTGACATCCTTAAGAGATGAAACAATCTGGTATCTATCTGAGATTTGCTTTAAAATACTAGTAGCTCAAAACGAAAAGGGGCGGGGGGAAAATAGATGAAATAAATAAGGCACAGTGTTGATTACTGATGAAGCTGAGTGATGTGTACATGAGAGTTTCTTGTACTACCTATTTTCGTGCATAGTTTGAAAATTTTATTAAAAAAAATTAGAAGCTACTGTAACAGGGGCTCTACTTAGAAAGTCAACTCTAAATGTTAACAAGAAAATTACCTGAGACTCCACAATTGCCTTGTTGGTGTTCTTCAAACATATCAAGCGTATTCCCACCACAAAACTCTGTCCCTGCTGTTTCCCCTTCTTGGAATGCTTTTCACCCAGATATCCACATGCCTTGCTCCTTTACTCTTTCAGATCTCTGCTCAAAGGTCACCTTGACCATCATACAAAACAGCAACACCCAACACACACGCTAGCACTCTCTATCCGCTTGCCTCACTTTATCTTTTTTCCCATAGCACTTACCACATTTCTAACACAAAATATTTTGTCTTCCACCAGAATGTAAGCTTTATGGTGGCAGAGGCTTTGACTGTTTTCACTGTCTATATTCTCAGTCCCTTAACACATTTCTTGAATGAGTGAATGAATGAACGAACCCTCTGCTGCATACCTACCCAAATGGGAGACACATACAAGAACTTACAAGCTTCCACATACAGACAAAATCACACAAAAATGATTTTAGAAAAGCAAAACTTCATTCACCTTCAAGAGCAGCTGAGAACCAGAATATGAAGATCTGGGGGCTGAGTTTTTGAGATTTGAAAATAAACAGTCAAGCGCTGATCTGGATAATCACAGAGTAGTAAAGAGGGAGGCACTAATGTCCAGCCTGGGTTGTCTTGGGGTGAGCAGTAGGATGACAGCGGTGTAGGTCAGAAGTACCAACTTTTTCAAGGTCTTTGTCGCTGCAGAAGTCAAGAAAAATTTAGCCTCTCTCCAACGGCTGTTGCTGTTTGGTGTCTGCTGCTATCACAAGGAGAAAAAGGTGGTTCAGAGGGAGTTTTTCTTGTCTGTGGAAGACACAGTTCAGAAATCATCTTTTTCAAATCAGGCTGCTTTAGTGAAACGGACTTGCTCCCGCTACTCTTAATGCCCTTTCCTCTGGAGAGATGGAGAGTGGGCTTAAAAGGTAAAAAGTGAGAAAAGGCAGGTGGAGGGTCATGGAATCCACAGAATGACACAGATATTTTAAAGAATAAACCTGAAAGGTGGCCGAGTTCAAAACTTTCATGTTATAGAATTCTCAGGGTCATTCTATAACATGAAGGGAGGTCAAGCAACTTCCTTATGGTTAGTATAGTGGGCATGCGATTTAAGCACACATGACAGATCCTAATCTACATCCACATCTAATCTTCCTGTTATGTGGTTATAACTAATTAGGGAGTTCATCTATTAAGCAACAAAGACCCACTAGATTTATCTAAATTGAGATAAAGAAGAGAACATTTCAGCCGGGTGTGGTGGCTGGCGCCTGTAATCCTAATCCTAGCACTCTGGGAGGCCGAGGCGGGTGGATCATTTGAGCTCAGGAGTTCGAGACCAGCTCTGAGTAAGAGCGAGACCCTGTTTCTACTCAAAATAGAAAAGAAATTAGCTGGACAACTAAAAATATATAGAAAAAATTAGCTGGGCATGGTGGTGCATCCCTGTAGTCCCAGCTACTTGGGAGGCTGAGGCAGGAGAATCGCTTGAGTCCAGGAGTTTGAGGTTGCTGTGAGTTAGGATGACACCACGGCACTCTAGCCTGGGCAACAGAGTGAGACTCCGTCTCAAAAAAAAAAAAAAAGAAGGGAACATTTCAAAAGTAGCTGGGCCAAATACAGTCTATATGAAAAATGTCCAGAGAAGGGTGTTGTTAATCTCAACGTTCAGTTTGGATGATGGTAGCTACCCCAGAAAGCTTTATGAATTTCCACGGGAACAGGCCAAATGTAAATAAGCCTCAAGTCTGGTTCACTAAGGTCTTTCCCTAGGTCCACGGTCCTCAGTGTGTGACAACTTTACGTACAAAGAAGCCTCTAATGTCAACGTTTAAATTCTGGGTTTGGCTCCCGGCATCGTGGTTCTGGAAGAGGAGGTTATTCCGCTCCATACCATGTGCCCCTTCTCTGAAGGACGAGGCCACTAAACAAAGAGTGTAGCGAAGAACCACGAGGGGCGATTCCCGCATGCTAGCGCTATCTCGGGTACCCCGTGGAGAAAGAGGATAGGGCTGGCCCCGAAAATACTCTCTGCCAACACGCTTCCAGGACAGGCCCCGCGGCCTCTCTTGGGGGAGCAGTTACAGCTCTTCCCCGGGGTTCCTCCGGCGACCCGAAGATACCCAACACCTGCCTCCCCCAGGAAGAAGCTCTGTGCCCGATCTGTGCTGCCAGCCGCCGTGCCTCCGAGAAGCCTGCCAAGCCCGGGAAGGCCCTTCAGAGCCACCTGCTCAAACCCCTCACTTCGCCCACCCCGGCCGAGGCGGGGCGGGCCCCGCACCCTTCCCGCGGCCCGGCCGCCCCGCCCCGTCCCCGTGGTGGCTGCCCCACAGGCCAGCCTCGCGAGTACTCACGGCGACCCCGGGCCGCGCGCGGCGCTGCCGAGGGACGAGCGGCCCGGGACGCCCCGCGGGGGCGGAGCGGCAGGCCAAGGGGCGGGGGCCGGGCCGGGCGGGCGAGGTCGCGCACCCCACGCCTAGTCGTTCCGTCACGGGCGCGTTGAGCAACTCTGCGCACGCTCGCGCGGCGACACGGCGGTCACGCGGCCGCTCCCGGCCAACAGCCACGCAGCCTGCACCCGGGCGCGCCTCCGCCGCCGACGCCGGCCTTGGGGCGCCTGCGCGGTGCCCGCTAGCTGGGAGGGGGCGCGGAGTGGGGGTGGCGCCTGCGCCGTGGGGCGGGGAGGGTGCGTGGAGAAAGAGGAGGGACTCTGGGGGCGTGCGGAGGGCCTTCGGAAGGAGACTGTCTGCGTTTGGCGCCCCGTGTGGTTGGAAGAATGAGCAGGGAGGGCGGTCCAGGGTGCTTGTGGACCGGGAGTCCCCTCGCTGGAGGCAGAGGCCGGCAGATAGAGATGGAGCGGGGACTCTGAAGGCCCTGCTGACTCCAGGAATCTCTGGTTCGAAAGTGGGAGTCAAAAACCTCAGGGTCTTTTAGTTCTTACGCTTAGCTCATTTGCTTCCCTGGTAGCTGCGATGTGCTGGAAAGCACACCGGCCTTCCAGTCAAACAATGTGTGTTCAGAGCTTGGTTTCATCACTTAGTGATTGTGCAGCCTTAAACAAAGACATTCACCTTCTGAGTCCTAGTCTTATCTTTGAAGTGGAGACGATAATAGCTGTTTCATTCAGCTGCTGTGGTGAGGACGAAGTGAGATAGGTTGAACTGTATGAAATTGCCCTATTTGTAGGATGTAAACAAATACCTGCAATTTCACACGATTCCAACTAATCCATGCGAAGTAACCAGCAGAGTACATGGGACTAAGAAGTCGTCCAGAAATGGAAGCTGTAATTGTGGTTATCAACCCTAGACGTGGACAGACCTCCTTCACGCTTATCAGTCTTGGAGCTTCCACGTGCCCTTTTCCATCAGCCCTAATGGGAAAAGGCTCATCTTGGACCAACTCTCCTTCTCTTTGTAACTGGACATAGCACACACAAGGAAAGCTTTGGCCCTGAGTGATACAAATATGTGTCATGTCTATCTAGCCCTCCTGCGCCCGCCTCAGTCAGAATTTTCCCGGTGAAGCTTTTTTTATGTATACGTTTGCACATCCTCAGCCTCTGCCTTGTGACTCCTTTCCCTTTTGATGGCCCCCTCTGCTTACCTTGCCACTCTGCCTGGGCCACAATGCTGTCTCAGTGTTAGTTTGTTAGACCCATTGTTTATAATAACTGAAAAAAAATGAGGGATATAGCCTCAGTTTCAGAGTGCAGGAGTTCAGAATAGTTGGGGAAGGCATTGGCCCTGCTCCCTAAAACAACTCACCATCAAAGGCCCTGTAACAGCTTTTGAAAGCCATGCATTTATGGGAGTGTGTTAAAATATAAGCACTTTGGATAAGCACAGGGGAACTGTCTCCATGAGTGAAATGTTAAACTCTGGTCCTCGATAACCCTTAGGATCCCCCTCCCCAACTCCTTCCATCTCACACCATCAGCTCTTCTATTCATCATTAATCTCAACTAGTTTATCAGAATCTTCCTGGCTTTACTTTTTTTCCTGCCCAGTACAGATCCTTGGGTCTGTCACTTTGATTAGATTTTTGATAATATGCTTGTCCTTATGTTTTAAAAATCACACTCCTCGATCATTCCAGCTGTCTACCTTCTCTACTCTCACATACTAAACCAGGATAAAGGAAATTACCCAGTCCTGCACACTTCAGCTTGTGTGTGGGCACTGATTTAGGTCAGCCCAGCCCATGAGCCCTGTTCTGTGGGAATTATATTTTCCACACCCACATTCCAAATCTACAGGCCCCAGGGCCATGTTTGTCTTGCGTGACTCCTGGCGCCCTGGTTGCAGTTTATTGAACTGTGAGTGGATTCCTGATCCAAGTTGTGTTAAGCAGATGTTCTCTCCTGAGAATCTGGGATTAGGGCTGAGAGATTGTGATCCTAATTGGACTGGTTTCTTGAGCAGAAGAGATATAGACTCAGGAGCTATGGTACATCCACCTGCCACCTACTATGATGAATGAACAAAGGAAAAAGACCAGCTGGGGACAACAAATGAAGCACGGAGAGGCAGAAGCCAGAAATGGTGAGACTATTCTCCAGCTCCTGGCAGCTTCCCAGCACTGAAGCCCTCTGACCTGGGGATCTAGGAGACACTCTTTTTTTTTTTTTGAGACAGAGTCTCACTCTGTTGCCCGAGCTAGAGTGCCGTGGCATCAGCCTAGCTCACAGCAACCTCAAACTCCTGGGCTCAAGCGATCCTTCTGCCTCAGCCTCCTGAGTAGCTGGGACTACAGGCATGCGCCACCATGCCCGGCTAATTTTTTCTATATATTTTTAGTTGTCCAATTAATTTCTTTCTATTTTTAGTAGAGACGGGGTCTCGCTCTTGCTCAGGCTGGTCTCAAACTCCTGAGCTCAAACAATCCGCCCGCCTCGGCCTCCCAGAGAGCTAGGATTACAGACGTGAGCCACCGCGCCCGGCCTGCTTCTGCCTCTTGAAGAACTTTGCTCCTTCACTTATCCCTCTCCCCCCCCATCTTTGATCTCAGCATATAAACTCGATCAACTCGCTCAACCTTTAAAAGAAATCCTATTTTAATCCCACATGCTACTGATTTTTCTTGCCTTCGACCAAGCTTCTAGGAGCAGTCTGTACTCTCTTTCTCCACCTCCTTACCTTTGATTTATTCCTTAAATCTCGTACCATCTGACCTCTCCCCAAAATTTCTACTGAAAATATTTTCACCAAAGTTACAAATGAGTTGCAAACTACCAAATCCCTTGGAAATTTTCAGGCTTAATTTATTTGACCCCTTGACCTCACTTGGCACTGTTGATCAACCTGTCCGCATAACCTTTTCCTCCGTTGACTCCTAGGGACTAGACTGTATCCTTCCGGTTTCTTCCTACACCTCATATGGCTCTTTCATGGCGTCTTTAATAGGCTCCTTTTCCTTCATTCCATATTTAAGTATAAAAACAGTTCAGTCCACACCCATTTCTCCTCTTATCACTTCTTCCAGTGGCCTCCATAGCACCCACTTGCAGCAGACCTTGTTCACTTTAGGTTGCTCAGAAACTGAATCGCCTTTTTATGTTACAAGTCGTGGAGGTAAGCAGAGTCCACCTTCCATGACAGACACTGAAAATGTTGGATCTTTCCTTTCCCGGCATTCCAGAAGGTAAGACAGGCATATGACCTGGCCAAGCAGCCACCAGAAATGTAGACTCTGGAGTAAGTGATTCAGAGGAATGGAATCATGGAGGATTCACCCAGTGGCAATGGCTGCTGTAGAGCAGGGTCAGCTTCATCCCATGCCCAAGGACTATTGTGTGGGTACTGGTGGTGGTGACATCCAGTGTCCAGTCATGATGACAGCAGCGGCGTTCTTGCTGGGCTGGCTCTGTATTTTGGCCTTTGCTCTGGTGGGCTGGCCTACCATTGTTCCTGCTTATCTTCCAAGCTTGGGTCTCCTGCCTGGCAATCTCATGACCCACCTAATGCCCTTTCAGCAACTGGTTCTGTTTAAATCAGCCTGAGTGACACACAGTTGTAGCTGGAACTCCCAAATCTGTA